ATAATAATGCTAGTTTATAGAAATTGCATATTTCTAATTGTTGCTAATTTAAAGTATAATCATTGTGTTGATTATATTTATATCCCAAAAACTATAACTTAATCTATGCATTTCAAATAACTTTTGTTAATAAATTATTACAAACATAATTTGTATGGTTGTTCTAATAAATATTGTAAGCACATATATAGTCCTATTGTTTATAAACTTAATATCCACCTTGATACCGCTATATTTTTTAATATAATATAAATATGGAAAATTTATAGAAAAACTAAATTACTAACACAATATTTTCAGGTGAAATTGTTAAAGTGTATACTGGAAGAATATTGCTGTGTAAAGTAACTGCAGAGTACATGGATACAGGATTAAATATATTGGGCATCAACACGGTATCTCGAATGTAGTATACTTAACTGTATACATACAAAACACTACTTTTTTAAACATTATTTTGATTTATACTTAGTTTCATCTTTTGAATGATAAAGTGTACTCTAAAATGAATATTTATAATATTTATCTGTATTTTATTTTAATTAATTAATTACTTCTGAGCTCATATATAATACATCATAATATTGTATAAAGTTGAAAAATCAAAATTATCCTTGTAAATTTTAATCCGTTCTTGAAAAAKTTTAAAGAAAACTAATGTTTATTTAATTGGTATTAAATTATTTTAAAAAATAATTTTGCATTTGAATAATTTTCTTGGTGTTTTTACATGCATTACCTTGATCAGTTATTTAATTACTCATATTCATTCTCTTAGTATTTAATTTATTAAATCCTCTTTAATTACATGTAAGTTATTGATTTTGTTTAATTTTGTTTAATTCAGATTATTTATTTATTCTTATATTTTAAACATTTCTATCCATTTGTATTTTAAGCAAGAAATTAAAATTTTTATGTTAATTAATTCGGTTTTGTTGTAMATTTTAGACTAGCTGTAAATTCAACTTTCATATTCTATTAAACTAAATAGTAACGTTTATGATAATTCAATCTYTATAATATACAATTCAATAGTTTTACTTATTGTAATTATTAGGAATTGGAAATTATGAAAGCTAAAAAAGAAAAATATGCAACAAAAATCAAAATTTCCGACATATGTTTTCATGTTGTTATAAATTTGGACTAAAAGAAATGTAAAATATTGAAAAATATATTTATAAAATTTCAAATATGGCAAAAATTGTTTGGCTTTCCGACATTTTATTGAACTGAAAAAATTGTTTTAAAACAATTTACGGAATTATAGTACACCAAAATATTAGTGTGATAGACATTTAAATTTATTATTAAAATACACAGCTTAAGAAAGAAAAAGATAATTTTTTTCAGAAAGTATTAAATATTTCAAATATGCATTTTACATTTTTGAATTTTAAAACTCACCATTTCTATACCATTCACCACAGCTAGGATTTCTAGCTCGGTCTGCTATAAATCATAAGTATGTATAATAATATGTAACTCTTACAACTTCCAATCCCTTGTAATTATTAGAGATGTTTTGGGTACCTGGCAATTACTTGATGGCCGGGTACTCGGTATCATATTTAAAACTTGACTTTTACTCAATACCTACATTTTTACCTGGCCCTTACTCGGTACCTAGCAAAATATTACATTTCAACTCAACTCATATCTGGTAACTGGGAAACGCTAATAATCTGTGCATACAAAATATATGCATACCTATGATTGATTTAACTGGAAAAATTTAAAATTTTAGATAAATAAATAATAATTTTTTTGGTACATATTAGAATAACTGAAGCGATTGACAATAGCCAATTTATTGTAAACAAATCATTTTGTTCTTCTATGAATACCAAAAATAAATCTTGTATTTACTGTTTTTGTATAAATGTTAAATTATTAACTATTAATTATCATTTATTATAATATAATACCCTTTTATTGTTATTTAGTAACAAAATATTATTATAAATTTTTGATTAAAAATGAAAATTTTAGATACTACTTCATTGTTCACAAAAGATATATTTCATATTTATGAAGTAAACAAGCTGAGTATGGTAACGGTATTGATCACTTTTGCTCGGTTGTCAGGTTAGGAATTTAGTACTAGACACCGATTTATGGTTT